GGGTTGTCTGAATCCGGCGGGTAACAGGAGGACTGGGAAGGCTGGCAGGCAAGGGGGACGGAGAGAGAGAGAGAGACGTGGGGATAGTGATGGGGGCGGCGGCGGCGGGAGGGAGACCAACACACCGGGAAGAGTAAGGAGTAGCTAGAGCTGGCAGACCTAGGAGGGTTCTATCCGGCGCACGCACACACACACACACACACACCAGGTGGTGCTGGCCCCAAAGGAGGGTGGTTCTGGATCATGCCCAGCCGCACCCTCCAGGGTGCCCGGACGGTAAACTTCCAAATTCCTTGCCCAGCTTTGGGAAGGGAGGGAAGGAGGGATGGAGGGGAAGAAGCCCAGGTAAGGGAAAGCAGGACAGCCAGACGGACGGGCGGCCAGAGGAAACCACGATCCATCCTCCAGTACCACCACCCCCCACCCCGGTCCAGGGGTCTTCCCGGCGCGCCCCCTCCCCAAATCACCTACCTTTCCTCTGCGCCCTTCGGGAGCCCCTTCCGTCCCCGGCGGTGGGGCTCAAGCCCAGCCGAGCCGAGCCGAGCCGAGGGGAGCCGGTCACTTCCTGGCCATGTCGCTGGCTGCTGGGCGCAGGCTGAGGGTCGGGTGGCGGCAGTGGGGGAGCCGGGAAGCAGGCAGGCAGGATGCCCAGGCCGGAGATGAGGTGGTCTGGGGTTCGATCCCGGCCTCCGCTGCCTTCCCTCTCCGGTGGGAAAGAACCCCCCCCCCACAAAAAAACCCCGTCCCTTCCTCGCAGCCGGGAGAGAGGGAGCGCGAAAGCCCGCCTCTGGTGAGGACGGGAGGGGCAGCGTTGGTGTGTGTCTCTCTGTGTGTGTCTGTGTGTGTGTGTTTGTGTAGGGGCGGGGAAAAGAGGAAGGAACCCTCAGGACCCACAGAGAGCAGCGCTTGGAGGGAGGGCCTGGATGGGGGAGAGGAGGGGGGGCACCCACAGACACCCCCCTCTCTTTTTAGATGCTGCGGAGAAAAGGATGCGATCGGGGCCCAAGTGTGGACCAAGGGGTGGGAGGGGATGAGGGGCAGGCCTGGCAGAGCCCCTCAAGCACCCCCCCAAAAAAAACTTTGCTGTCTCCCCCCACTAGACGCTGCCCCCTCCCCTGCCAGGGATGCGGGGGGGGGAGAGGGTCGCTCCACCTACTGACCCCCCACGCCCAACCCACCGATCCCTGCAAGGGACTGCTTGCTCTCGCTCTCTCGGCACGATCGGAGTCCCGGGAAGTCGAGGCAGAGGCGGAGGCTTCAGCACCAGCAACCGGTGGACAGCTCCCGGGCGCCGGGCCCCGCCAGCCTTTGCTGGATGGATGGATGGATGGATGGATGGATGGATGGATGGATGGATGGAGAGTCCGAGGTGCCTTCTATTGGCAACATGTGCTGCCCCTCCGGCAGGATTCTCCTCCTAGACCTCCTCCAAATGCATAGTTTTTCCTCTTTCCAGACCATACTTCAAAGGTCCTTTGCCAGCTTTAAAGACCACATGCCAGCCCACCCACCCCCTATTTAAGATGGGGATGCGGAGAATGGAGTAGGAACCATGGAGTCTCAGCCCTGTTTCACGTGCAAAGGTCGCCTTCGAGGCCGTTTGCTGTGCTGGAGACAGAGGCTTCTTTTCAGCCTCAGTTTGTCCTTCTGCAAAATGGGGATTCGCAACGGTGCCTTGGAGAAGGGGAGGAAGGAAGGCAGGTTGTCCGTCAGAACGGGCTACACAGCCAAGATCAAAACATCTTCTGTAAGTGAGAACCACCCAGCGCATATCCAGTACCTTGGCTCACGTCTCAGTCGCCAGTCACACGCTGGTGCTAGGGGCCGGCGTCGCATCCGCCAAAGGCTACATTTCCTCTGGGATAATTTCCCAGGGACACATCATGGCGGCAGCTGGGGCCAAATCCAGCAGACAGGCAGTAACATAGCCAGGAGGCAGATGTTGTTAGGCACTGTCAGACTGGAACAGACCGACAGTGATCCTAACAGGGTTTTCAAGGGACGGGAGATATTTAAGAAGTGGTTTTACCAGTCCCACTCCCCCAGTGAGCTTCCATGGCTGAGTGGGGATTCGAACCCAGGTCTCCAGAGTCCTATGCTGTCACTCTATCCACGACACCACACTGGGAATCTGACCAGATGTTGTTAGGCACTGTCAGACTGGAACAGACCGACAGTGATCCTAACAGGGTTTTCAAGGGACGGGAGATATTTAAGAAGTGGTTTTACCAGTCCCACTCCCCCAGTGAGCTTCCATGGCTGAGTGGGGATTCGAACCCAGGTCTCCAGAGTCCTAGGCTGTCACTCTATCCACGACACCACACTGGGAATCTGATGGAGGCAGAGTGACCCCTTTTTCTTTCTTTTCCTCTTTCTTCGCCTCCAGCCTCATTTCTCTCCTTTCTTTTTGGCATAGCCTTCCCTTCCCTTTGTTTTTCTTGACTGCATCTGTGCATTTTTTTTCTGCCTTCAGCCTTCTCTCACCCCTTTCTCCCCACCTCAGCCTTCTTTTTCTCCCTTTTTCCCCTGGCACAGCCCTGTGTGTGCCCCTCTCTGTGCATCCCCTTTTTCCCCTTTCTGCCACAGCTTTCTCATTCCACTTTCCCCCTCTTTCCACTTCTTCTGCCATAGCCTTCTTTCCTTCTCCACCCCTGCCTTCAGAGCCTCTCCCCTCGGTGGTGGGAGTGGGGCAGGCCAGGCCAGGGCATTGGAGAAAGATGGAAAACAAAAGAAGCCCCCCACTCCACCCTCCAGAAACAGGCAGGCGGGGAGGACCAGTTGTCTACAAAAAGCGAACAATCCTTTCAGTTGGGTTTTGGTATACTGAACACGTCTTCAAACCTTCGAGGGCCACCTAGGGAATTCACACCTAAAATAAAATCCAAGTTGAATTTTTGTTCAACCCCCCCCCAAAAAAAGAGACACACGTATGGCAGGGAGAAAAGGCTGGTAGCTTTCAAAAGCACACGGTCTCCAGGCCTCAGCTGCGCAGCCACAAAATTGGTTTAACATTCAATTTGTAAACTGCTCAAAGGCTCCCAGGTTGGGCTGTGAATTGGCATTGCCCACCACGGCGCAGGCACGGATCCCCTGATGCCTCCGTGCGCAGGCTGTCCTTAGCCCGCTCCTGGAACGGTGCTGAGATGCTACTGATGCTTCTTATTTCATTGCAAGTTCAGGCCAAATCTCCCTGGGTAACTTTGGGCCAATCATCCTACCCCCAGCTTGAGCTGCCTCGTAGAAGGGCTTGTGAGGATAAAGCGAAGAAACAGAAGGGACAGAAGTTTAACGGACAATGCATGAAATGTGCAGTTTTGTGCAAAAGATGAAGACCTGGAGGAAGGAGGAGGACAGAGGGAAAATGGAGAATCCGAACTTTTTTGCTTCCAGGTAGAAGCGGCGAGAAGCTACTGGATGCTCACAGAAATTGGAAGAGGTGGGAGAAGCCATCTTCTCTCTCTCGTGGAATGTTTTCAAGCCAGGGAGGAGAAAGTAGAAAAACTCTAGATATTGGTGGATCACACTACCCATCCTCCCTGACCACGCTGGCGAGGGCTGATGGGAGTTAGAGTTCCACATTTAGAAAGCATTCATGCCCTCAATCTTAAAGGAGGTCTCTGTTGTTTCTTATACAGAAAGTGCTGTTGAATACCTGGGGGCAGAAATATAATGTGTCTTCAGAGAAATGACAAGCGGACTCCTTCCTCCTTTAATTTCTTACTTAAGCCCACCTCAGCTAAAGATTACGAGTGTAATATTCTTTCAGTTCCTGGGCTTCTGAGACAGACCAGGGACGAGGCACAGGAGGCACCCGGGAGAGGAAATGTAAGTTAAATGGCAGTTTATTTTTAAGCCTGCTTAGTCTTCCTGCTCAGCAACATGCCTGGGATGAGCTCATAAAGATGTGAGCAGAAATGGGAATTTAACCTGGTTTAGATCATGGCAAGAACGAAAGCAGAACAGGACTTCCCTGCCACACACCAGTATTTTGAGAATTGCAATGTGGCGGGTGGGGGGGATGGAAATAAGGAAAAACTAACATTTCTGCCCAAAAGGCTCCAGATACCACATCGTCATCTTCACCACTCTGAAATCATAATAAGATCCTGAAAATGCTTACAGGCTTAACCCATGCCCTCTCTCATGGATCATCGGTTCCTGTTTGCCAGCAGGATCTGGCCGCGGAATCTACACATCGTCAGCTTTTTCTGTCGGCAGAGCTGTGCAGATCTGCCTAAAATTATGAAAAGAGGCAGGCCTGCACGTCTTATATGCCTGGAGATACAAGAATCAGCAGGCTTCTTCTCCCACTTCAAACACCAGCTGAACACTCAAGGCAAAACACGTGGGGTGGGGCACCCTGGCGGTGCTCTGAGCTATGCAGTGTTTTTAACACACCAGTGGTTAAGCGCACAGTGCTTCTCAGTGAAAGGCACCGAGAGAGCACACCCTCTATGCTCCACAGGGCACAATCGGGTGTTCTTTCCCCACACAGCAGCCCATTGGTATTTCCATTCTACAGGACGGAAAACCGAGGCAGAGGAGAAATCAAGGTCTCAGCCAATGGATGTAGAAGGCAGAGCTCTCTATGCAGTAAGCTCCATGGGGCTGGGAGATGCTGCTTTTCTGGACTACATCTCCCAGAATCCAAAAGCCAGACAGCCAAGGGCCATGATAGCCGTGGGATTCTGGGAGGTGTGTAGCCTAAAAAGAGGAGCATCTCCCAACATTCGGATTCCATCATGGATCTTCCTGTCCCAGAGATGCTACAGGACTACGGCTAAGCTCCTTGCAGGGGAAGCTTATGATCTGCTAAGGAGCTACAATCCTTCCCTACACAGATCACCTTTACAATGGAAAAGGAAATGGAACACAAGCCAGGCATCGCTTCTCCTCCCGCTGCCTCTTGACAACGAAGGACCATAGCTTAAGCATAGGATCCCTCCATACAGACAAGAATCCGTCTCTGGGTCCTATTGGGGAAGAAACCGGGGGGGGGGCTTTCTACTTTCTTGGGAGCAGAATAAAAGTGGACCCATCCCAGTTAAACAGACTGAATTAACCCAAACAACTTAATGGGTTTCGCTTCCCAGTAAAAATTTCAATGGAACAATAAAAGATCAAGTTTTCAACCAGAAAACACGTCCTGTCGGCTTCAGTTTTTACTTGGAAGCAAAACCCATTGTTTGGGTCAAATTCAGTCTGTCTGACTGGGATCGGTCAACTTTTAAACTGGGGGTCGCTGCCAGAGGGCACTGGAACACAGAGCCTGGTGACCCTCCAGGGGGTCCACCAGGCTGACTCCTCGGCGGTTTTCCACAATCAAAGACAACTCTTTCCGATTCCGGATGTCGGGCGACAGCAGAACCTTTCATACTAATTAGCTTAATAAAGGAACATGGTGGATAAAAGGAAGAGGAGGGAGGGAGAAGCCAAGGAAGAGATTCAAGGGGACGGACTCCCAAGGAAGCCTCGTGGCTCCGGATGGGGAGTGGAATGTTGGCTTTGAGCAGCCGGGAATATTAGAGTGCAGCTCTGTTCGGTGACATTTGTGGGCTAAGGCTCTGACTAGCTTAGTGAGGTTTGTTTTTTTGTATTTTAATATTCTGGAAACTGCGTGGGGAGTGGAATGTTGGCTTTGAGCAGCCAGGAATATTAGAGTTCGGCTCTGTTCGGTGATATTTGTGGGCTAAGGCTTTGACTAGCTTAGTGAGGTTTGTTTTCTTGTATTTTAACATTCTGGACACTACACTTTAAGGATGCTGACAAATTGGAACAAGTTCAGAGGAGGGCAGCAAGGATGATGAAGGGGCTGGAAAGCAAGCCTTAGGAGGAAAGACTGAAAGAACTGGACATTTTTAGCCTTGAGAAAAGAAGACAGAGGGGTGACAGGATAACACTTTTCAAATACTTGAAAGGTTGTCATACAGAAGAGGGGCAAGATCTATTCTCGGTCATCCCAGAGTGCAGGAGACACAATAATGGCCTCAAGTTACAGGAAGCCAGATTTGGGTTGTGTATCGGGGAGTGGACTTCTTAACCGTTAGAGTAGTATGACAATGGAACTCATGACTCCATGAGGTGGTGAACGCTTCTTAACCGTTAGAGTTGTATGACAATGGAACTCATGACTCCAGGAGGTGGTGAATGCTTTAACGCTGGAGACATTCAAGAGAAAATTGGACAAGCATCTGCCAAATATGTTTTGGTATTTGGATTCCTACACTGAGCAGGGGATTGGAGTCGATGGCCATATAGGCTCCTTCCCGCTCAATTATTCTATGATCTTATGACTTTTGCTATTGATTATGTAGGCTGTTTTGCAAGGAGATGAGGCTGAAAAGGCAATAGAGACTTTCACATAAATCAAAAACAGCTATTTTCACACTGCTGCTGACTTTGGTTCACCCTACAGAGATGGAGATCAGATGATGCTCGTTATACAAAGTTTATTTACAGAGTTCTTGGCTAAGCTGGTCTCAGGGCAGTTCCTGCAGAATAGAGACAAACCACTGGAAGGGTACCACAGGACAGAGGCTCACTTCTCATGTCTGAGAAGCAACTCTTTCCGTTCAGGGACTGCAAGCTACCCTGAAAGGCAGATAGGAACAGTAGGGCCCCTTGTGATTATCCAGTGCATCCTGTCTTCTAACTTCGACCAATTTGGTCCATATTCCCTCTGTGGCAGAACTGGAAAAATCCTTTGGAATGGTGCCATGGTCTGGGTTCAACTCATCCTTCCTTACAGCCATCTCTTCAATCCCTTGGTTCTCTTCCATCAGCTTCTACGGTCTTGGTCCCCTGAAGCTGTCCAGTGTTATGGATCAACAACCCCTGTTCAGCCACTTTCAGCCGAAGCCTCTCCAAGAGGCACTGGGCTGCCTGTGTGAGACTATGCTGCCAGGAGGGGAAAAAAAGTAGGTGTTATTTAGGAGAATTCATACCTTATTCTTTCATCCAGCAGATTTCACAAAGCAGTCAAATCTCCATTTGAAACCATATAAATTGAAAGAGTGGTTAGAAAGTCATAAACAGTATATCCAACACTAAAGGTGTTCTGGAAAGCAAAACTATGTGTTGTTGTTCTAACTGAACAAAAATAACCAGAACTTGGAGAAGTTCCTCTTTTTTTGCATGAGAACTCCCAATGTAGCCTATAGGATTTTGGGAGAGGTAATGGAACAAAGCAATTTTCTAGGCTCTGTTTATGGTAGCCATTCTAAAAGTGCTTCAAAATGGCACAGTCTTCAGATGGCCTTCCGAAACATTGCCGCAGCCAAGAAAGCCTCCTGGAGAAAGAGGCCCACTGATGCTGTGCCACCGCCAAGAGGTCCCTGTCTCATGGAACTGCTTGCTGTGCAAGCAGAGGTGGGGGCTGCATAGTGTTGAGCACAAGCTTTAAAAAAAATTAAGAGGGTACATGGGAACATTTGTACCAACTGGCTGAAGAAATAGCTTTCTCATCTGCCTTGCCAACTAAATTTCTTCCTTGCCCCCCCACCATCAAAGTTTTTTCCTTCTATACAGTAGGACTCCCTATATCTGTGGGACTGACATCCACTGATTCACTTATCCACAGGGTGAAAATATTAAAAATATTCAAAGAAATATCCCCCAAAGATATACTTTTACAGATGAAGTTACGAGAGCTGGCCTCTAGAGGGAGCCCAAGACCATTCTATGTATAGGGTTTACTAACATAACATTGTTTGCTATAACCCATGTTTTCCATCATCTGCAGGAGGGCTCGCAACCGATCCCCCCATGAATATAGGGTCCCACTGTATTATATTCCTTCCACCAGAAGCTACTTTTAAAAGCTGTGACTTGCCAGGGCGTAGTGGTAAAAAAAGGTGGCAGCGTGTGCATGAAGGTGAAGGTGGCTGGTTTGGGTTTTCTACAGAAAATGCACAAAGCAGGCGCAGGGAAGCAATGCTCGGTCTCTTTGCAAGAACAGGGCCAGGCCTGCCCCATTCAGGGAAGCCTTACGTCCAGGCTCCCTGTAAAATGAAGCGTCGTGGAAGGAAAAGTCAGGACGGAGCTCAGGATGAAACAGGAGAGAACGGAAGCATCATGGAAAGCAAAAGTTGGCAGCTTCTAGCGGATCCTCCGCACACACCTGGGGATCTGGGCTTCCTGCCAGCGTGCTGAGGTTAAAGAATTAAAAATGATTAGAAGTTACTCAGGATAACCTCTTTAATTTATTATGAGTCTTCTAATCACGTTTTGTTCGGTCTTGGAGAGCAGGCCGGGCAGAAGCCTCGATAGCACGGCTGTCCTCGGGGAGAGGCAGACCTTTAAATGCCTCTTCCCAGAATCTTCAGCTTGAATTGGCTGTTTTTTTAAAATTTCAAGTACCTAACCCTATTCCTCTCAGAGATACACAGAAAAACGGTGTAGCTCATGTTCTACTTGTCTGGGCCAGGGGGAAATTAAGCTGCTCTCTGTGGTGTTAATGGCCACACCAAGAGCAGCGTGCTAGCGAGCTCTTCTGTTGAGCGAGAAGCCGCACCTGCAGAGTGACGCAGGATGGCACTGCCTTGCACAGTTCCCGTCAATGGTAAGCAGGGGATGGTTTTCTTTACGAAGATCACCCTCTGCACAGCGAAAAGGCTTGCCGTAATTCTAGGTGACTGTTTCAAATCCTATTGCTTTGAATCAGAAAATGCATAGCTTTGAGTCCATTTCAGCAATTGAAAGGTCCCTGCCGCGATTCTGAATGCCGTGCGCATACCTTGGTTTGGTGCACGCCCACACATCCCTGAGAATCTCAGCCGGGATTTATTATTTGCCCATTAGGAATGGACAGGAAGTTACAAACTTCCTTAAGCTTAGCAAAAGGACTTCAGCCACTTTACTGGCAGCGCTTTCTGCTCAGCATAAGCTGAATAGGATACTGGAACGGAGGCCCAGATCCAATTGGGGTTTTTAATGAGAGTAGGTCCATTGGAACAGTGGTATTTACGTGAGTGTTGACTCCCCATTCGGAAGCTGCTTCAATGGTCTGTTCTCCTTGGGGCTACCCAGGTGAGTTTAGGCTTTCATGTTTTAAAAAGAAATTAAAACAGGATGAATGAACTGAAAGCAGTGAACTGGGGGAGGGAGGGCTGATGTGTGTGAAATGGGCTTACTCTGCCCCCCCGGTCCCCTCCCCACATCCACAAACCTGAAGAATGTGCAGCCCCTTCAGGCACACCACGGCCAGTTCACAGAGCCCGTCACAGGTCAGGTCCACGTACTCCATGGAGAGGAGGGGGCTGGAGAAGGTGCGCTGCCAGAGGATGTAAAACTCCCCCTCAGGCTGGCCAAAGGGATGATGTTCCACTGCTCCTGCAACGTGAGCCTTCGGGGCTCGGTACTTGTAGCACAGAAGTTCCTAAAAAGAACAAGAGGTGCTGCTTTATCCTGAGAGAGTCTAAATTTATTCAGTTGACCATTAGGAGGGAGGGAAAAAAAACACTATCTGTGGCTTTTGGTGCATGATTCCTAAGGGCTTCAGCCTCCTTTAAAAGCATGTTTCTTTTTTCACATTCCGCTTCGAATGACACTTTCTGCTTCATTTCTGAAAATGCAAGCTTGCAGGAGAGAAATGCCTTTGGAATAATGGCAAAGGACAATTTTACAGACGCTTTCTTGGGGGGGTGGGACCGTCAGCATGGATTCATTGGGGTGCGGGGCAGAGCATCAGTGCCGTCAGGACCCTTCGGCCACCAGGGAGGCAAAGGTCCCGCCACCCACCTGTCCATAGGTTCCAAGCAGGATCTCGGGCTCATGATCAAAATTGACGTCGGTGACCAGGGCGCACAGCACGCTGTCGTACTGGTCGCTCAGGGGCAGGATCAACTGGTCCTCGAGGCCGTTCTGCAGCACGTTTCTGGGAAGGAAACAAGCAGCACCAAACGGTCACACAAACAAAACTTGGGGAAATTATTATTATTATTTTGTAATTACAACATGGAGGATCTGGAAGTATTCTGAGAGTCCTGGTGTGACTCAAAGTAACTGTACCACACTCTGTGTTTAAAAAAGAAAAAGAAAACAGCAGAGAGTAGCAAGGAGAGCTTTGCCCACACTCTGTTCTACCTTCTCTGCTCACCTGTAGACAACCGACAGTTCAATCGTACTGGTGACTAGGACGTTGTAGATCTGGTTGCGAGGACTACCTGATCGGAGGAAAGGAAAGCAGTCAGGGCATAGGACTGGGCTTTGGAAGCGTCAGGCTCTGGTCCTCAGTGAGACATAAAGCACACTGGGTCGCCTCAGGCCATTCGCTGACCCTCTTGGTCTGGCTTCCCTTATCAGGCTGCAGGAAGGATAAACCACAGAGGTTTATACATATACCGCCTTGAACTCACTGGAGGAAAAGCGGTATATAAAGGCAATTAATTAATTAATTTAGGTCAACAGAAGGCCTAAGCATACGTGCAGCTAAATGAATGCTGCTGAGTCTTAAGGAAGTCAGGCTCTCGTCCTCCATGCCTGGCCTGAGATTAGGCCAAGCCACTGCCCTCTCTCATGTCTCACCATCATCCAAAGGGAGGCTGTCATCGCCAGGCAGGGCAAACACCAGGGCTTTGGAGATGGGACCGTCTTGTTGGATGCTCCAGCTCTGCAGCACCACTGTGAGGGCAAGGGGGTGAGAAGAGGCAGCAGTCAGCGAGGTCACAATGGCTGGGGCTGGGGGGGGGAGGACACGGGACTCTCCTGCGCTTTGGAATGGTTTGACTGCTGCTGAAGTCCGCAGCGGTTGCATGGCCGAGTCCCACCAGCCGCTTAAAACGAAGAGGAAGAAAAGAAAAAAAAGAGGCTCACCGCGGCTGGCCGGCTCAACGTGGGCGACGCGGATGTAGCCGCTCTGGCAGCCAAAGGCGGTGATGCGCCGGCCTGAGTTCGGAATGTTGTAGACATCTAGCCACAAGACGCTGCGGAGAAGGAGACACGGGTGTGTGTTTGGGGAGAGCATCACATGGGTACAAAACTCACGGCGGAAGGGGCTGCACATTCTCGGAGGTGGGGCAGGACGCAGCCTTCGTTGTGCAAGTCATCACACCGCTAGTTGCAAAATGTAACCCTGAGCGCAATGGCCCTGGTGGGCCAGCTGGGGTTTCCGCTCCACTGACATGCTGTTGCCTTTCATCAAGGCAGATTCCAGCTTATGGTGGCTCTTTCCTGGGTTTTCTAGGTACAGAGTGCTCAGAAGTGGTTCCCCTGTCCCTTCTCTTCTGGGCGGCGTGGGGGGACGGGGGGCTCTGCAACCATGCAGCCACAGAGGTTGGCTTTTCTCCTATAATAATAATAAGCATCATCTGCCATTGAGTCGATTCTGACTTATGATGACCATTTCCAGAGAATACTCAGAAGTGGTTTAAGCCTTCCCTTCTTCTGGAGGCAGCCCTGGGACCGTGTGCAGCTTGCCCAAGGCTCTTCTCCTAGGAGGCTCAGTGTGGGAATCAAACTCCCAACCTCTCCAGCCGGAGATCTAAAGCAACAGAGCTATCCAGCCAGTTCCTTTTCCTACTAAGGCCCAGTTTCTGGGCCACAAATGGAAATGTGAACGAGAGGCATGGGTCGTTGCTCAAGGCAAGGTGCATGCAATGTCAAGAGAGAAGCCTGGCTTCTATAAGCTCACGCTGGGATACCACCCACCCTCGTCCCAGCAGCTCTCTCAAACTCTGTTTCCTACAGAACTGAGTCTTGATTTTTTTTAAAAGCCAGCCTGCCTACTTGCTTGGAAGCTCCTTGAGCTCAGGAAAGAGGTCCTCCACGGGCTGCTCCTCAAACTGATGCAGCTCTTCATTCTGTAAGAAAAGAGAGTGACACAGCTAAATCGTAACTTCAGACTTAGCCAGATCCTGTCTGGAGAGCTGCGGCTGGTGTGCCAGATCTTTGCAATCACATGCAAGACTACTCACATACCTAGCAGATTGCTAACAGGGTGCTTCCTGCTCCCCCTTCAAGCATTAGCCAATACCAAGCCCTTTTAAAACAAGAACCACTTCTGTTTCAAACTCAGCTGAAGCTGCAAGGCCAGCAGACACAGTTTTTCCTTTCTGGCAAACCTCCTTTCTGTCCAAGCTACAAGGCTAGTAGATAAAGGGCATGCTAACTCCCTGCTTTCTCCAGAAAACGCTCTGGCAGGGCTTTCATGGGTGGCCCAAGCTCGTCCAGAATTATCTGCCCCGACCTTCATTCAAGCAGGACTAAGGGGCAAAAGGGCACAGCAAGGGCAGACGGATTCAGAGAGGCCTTCGTGTCGCCTGCATCTTGGGTGGTGCAAAGGGGGGGGGGAACGTGCGCAGGGCACCTGCATCTTGGGATCAGGGTACATACTGGAAGCCTCTCAAGTGCTGAACCGATCAATGTTTGGTGCACAGTTCATCAGAACTAAACACAGCGACTAGGGACCCCCCTTCCAGGTGGAAAAGCAAGGGGAAATTAAAGAATAAAAAAAGATTCCAAGAGAGACAGCCAGCAGTTCTCCAGGCAAGACTCCAGCATTATAGAGGAAAGACAGTCGAAACAAAACACAAGATTAGTGGACTCACCTCTTTATAAAGGTGAATAGCTGGGTCATTACCACTCAGAAGGAAGACTGTTTCTGGCTGGTCCCCAACCTGGACTCTGCAGTGAGAGAAGCCATCTTTTAAGATGGTAACACACACATACGTTCTCATATACACAAACAGGACACTGTGCTCAAAATACATTATGCACACCAAAAGCTCTGTTGAGGGCAGTCTTCCCAAACCCACTGGCCCTCAGCTGCTTTGGAATACAACTCCCAGCATCTGCTGGCTATACTGTATTCTATAGTTCATGGTACCCATTTTGAATCTCCCACCGTTAAGACTAGATGAACCGGTTTCTAGTAAGAGGAGAAAACCATCTGACTTTTCCACATCCTGCGTAATCTCATATGTTTCAATTATGCCTCCTCTTACTCTCCATTTTTCTAAGATAAGCAGCTCCAGGGTCGTAACTATTCCCTAGAGAGGAGTTGCTCCAGTCTCTTGATCATTCTGGGTGCCTTCTCTGGGCTTTTTCCAGTTCTACAATATCCCTTTTCAGGTGCAGTGACCTGAACTCTACACACAGTTGAGGGCTCTGTTCACTCCTAGCACTCAGAACAAATGTCTCCCTGTAGAATGTGTTAATCCTAGGTCTATATGATTTTGGGCCCAGCTCGAGTTGGGGGAAATGTCAGGATTCTACCAAAACACAAAAAAGTTTCTCCAAGCCCAAAGTGTGATGACTCATCTAATATCGGTCAAGGATTTAATGGTCCAAATTTAGAGGATGAAATAGGAAAGAAAACTGATGTTTCGGAGATGTAGCAAGCTTTTGTGCAAAGGTGGGAAACTGTGAACTGCATACGTACTCTGCATGATAGAGCTGGAAAGGGGTAAACTGCAACTCCAGGTTCAAGCAGCTTTCTGAAGAGAAAGTGGGAAAACACTCACTAAGGGTAAAAAAATATCAAACTGGGCCCTTTTCCCATGCCCTCTGTGAAAGCATTCCCTGGATTCTATCTCCAGATCAAAATGAAGTCACAGCTGTCACGACTACTACCCAAATTAGAATTCTGGGATAATCTGTTTTCAAGACTTTATGCTTCTAGTCCCCTTGATTTCAGAAAAAAAAACTGGCTTCAAAAGTCTTTCTATTAGGCTTTCAAATATGGCTTCTGGAGGCCAAGAGTTTCATGCCTGAGGGTAACTAACTGGAACTTTTCATCTTCCAGCTGTGCAATCCTGAACAAAATAGCAAACCTCACTCTGCTCTAGAAAAAGCACACTCCCCAACTGGAAAAATCAAATTCCGCCCTTGGAACTCTTGCATTTGGGAAGATTTTCCCACTTCTTCTGATATTCCTTACTTCCAAGGTGCAGGGAGCGCATAGGTCAGGGTTGAGAGAAGAGACCAGAGAGGACTAAAGGGACAGAAAAACAGGGTGAGTTGAGAAAGATGGGTACCAAATACTTACGCGCAATTGAATCCAGGTTATATTCTGAGCCTGGCTCATAGTCACAATAGATGTTAAGGAAAGGGCTGGCTTTGTCTCCAGAATCCTGTGGTGATGGGAAAAAACAGCAGGCAAACCGCTGTGCTGTTTCACAGCACCAAATACAAAGAAAGAGGAACATACACAAGAGCTCAGATGGAATAAAGCCAATTGTCAAGCCTAACCAGAGCCGAGCCACTGAATCAAGGCAAACTAAATATGTATTGGTTTACTGAGGTCCTGCTAAGTCATGTCACTTTAGTCTAGTACTCCATCTGGTGCAGCCTCTCCCAACCTAGCACCTTCCAGATTGTGTGGGATGAAAACCCCCATCATCCCCAGCAGGCTCCTCACTTCCTTATTCATTTTCTGCCAACCTACAAAAATTAGGCTAAATCCATTTGTTATGCCTCTGCTAAAGCAGATAAATGGAAGGAAGGGCCAACACTGGGTTCATCTTTCAGCTCTACACACACTAGGACCTGTGTATCTGTGGGGGATCAGTTCCAAGCCCGTCCCCCTCGCGATGCTGAAAAACCACAGATTATAGCAAACAATATTTTAATAGTGAACATTATATATAGCACAGTCTCTGGCTCTCTGTAGTGGCCAGTTCTGAAAATTTCATCTTTAGAAATATATATTTCTAGGATTTTTCTTTTAATATTATCAGGCCATGGGTAAATGAATCAGTACGTACTGATCTCATGGAGAAGGGGGCCCTCTTTCTATGTGGAACTAGACAAATTATGAAAACCACCTACCTTAATGAATGTAATCCCCACCACTAATCCTCTTTTCGGGGGCGATTTGTTGAAAGTATCAATAGAGACAATTTCTGCATCAACTGAAAAGTAGAGACACACAAGAGCAATTGAACTGAACTGGTAACACTGTCAAGAACAGTTTGCAGTTATATTTCTTCACTTTTGTGAGGACACAGCCAGGCGGTATTTCTCACTCTCCTGCCATATGACAATTTTCAGACTAAGCTGCAGCTTAGGGGTTGCCCTGAATAAGATGTGAAACTGCCCTTATAGTTTCTGAATGCAGTGGGGCCATAAAATAAAAGCAGCTGGGCCAACTTTCATACAGAGAAAAGACAAATGGTTTATGTCCATCACACACAGCACAGAGTGAATGACCCACATTCAAGGTGGCAGAGTTTTATCCTCTGCGGGGAGATAGTAGGAAGGAAAGGAAAATCCTGGGGGGAAATCCAACTGGTAACCTCAGTTATTTTATCACGGATCTTTCCATTTTCATGGAAGCAGCTGAAGAACGCCTCTTTTACTGCTTTAACTGTATCCCCCCAAACAGATCCAGAAAAACATTGAATTAAGGCCTGCTAAGTCCCATCTCTTTATTTACACTTTCCCCTTCTATGCCGGTCCTTGTCTCTGAAGAGCGTCCATCTCCCCTAAAAAGGTCCACGACACATACGTAACTCTTCAGGCAAGCCTTCCTTCAGTAACCAGCTTCTTGTGCTTGGTTTTTAGGCAGATTGTTATGCATTACTGCTTGGACTGGATTGTGAGTCCAGTACTACTTGTTTCCCATTTGTTGTGTTTTCTGTGTCTCAAGAGTTTAAAAAACTGTATAATTGATTTTTGGCCTTAATACGGCCTGATCATGAGGTTAAGATGACACTTCATTCATTGCTAGCAGTTTTCAATACTGGTCTTTTAAGGATGCTCAGCGCCACAGAACACCCCTTTTGTTTTCAACTGGTCAGTATCATCTTTCCTTGTTCGTAGGGGGGGGTAAAAAAATATTTAACACCAACCCACCGACCGACCCCCCCCACACACATATCACGGGAGGACACGGTGTCCGGAGGGCAGGCCCTGAAGGAATGACGGGAGGTCCAATCCCCACCGGTTGAGCGGGGTCTGATCCTGCTGGGGGCCGAGGCTCCCGGTTCCCAAGGCCACCACCCGTGAGGGTCAGCACAGGCCCCCCCAAATCAACGGCAACCACAACACACACAAACACACACCCACACACCCCGATTTCAAGTTACCGGGGATGTAGGTGAACTGCACCTCGCGGGCCACCGGGCGCAGCTTCTGCCGCAGGTCCTGGTAGCGGAAATGGACGACCTTCCCCTTCAGGGTGGCCGCCAGGAGACCCCCTGGGC